CAATGTGTAACTTATGATTAGAGCACCGGAGTTTAGTTAAAGCTTGTCTGTACAGGAGAACACGAACGATATCCAAATAATTCTCATAAAAAATATTTGTTTTAAATTGACGAAACGTTCGTAACTTATTTCTACTGTTTGGGGATCTACGAACATCGTCAAATAAAGCATCTTTCCAACTTTTGAAATAAAACTCTCTCTTTTTTTCCAATTAACAACGTTGTTTCATCGATAATTTGGGAGATAAACCTATATATATGATAATGACAATAATGACAATTCAATAAAAAAAATGCATGAAATTAAAATGATCAAATGATTTATATTTTTCTGTAATAATAGCGTTTTACTTCACGCTTGAATCACTAAATTACTATTCAACACTACCAACGCAACGCAACGTAATACAACACACAATCTACCACACAAACCATTTCGTACGAGGATGTCGCTACTAGGATGTATGTCTCGTTAAACCTTGCGGGCAAAATAAAAACGAGATTTCTCAACAACTGGTACATATGTTTTTCTTAATATTCTGTGTTAAACTGCTTTCTCTTTTAGTAGATTGGCAGTAAAATGTAATGTAAGATCCATTAAATCTTGTTGCCCGTCAGTGGTTTTCCTAATTGTCATATAAAGAGTGTCGGGGGCTTAGTAGAGTACACTCATGAGAAAGAGTGTTGAGATGTTTTTTATTCATTGAAATCAGTTGCAGCAATTAGTTGTGTCGTTGAATCAGGGTTCTCTGGTGCGTATACAATAATTACATATTTTATTATTTACGGAGTAAAAACGAATAATACATACGTAACCAATAAGAATGAATTTTTTTTTTTATATATTTAGATTATTTTAGCTTGAAGCTCGAAAGTCGAGTTCCCAATAATAACGTGAACATTTAAAAACGATCAATGTTGTATGCCCCCAAAAACGGTGACTATGGGAACCATTGTATTATAACCTTTGCAACTGTTTTTTGCAGTTTATAAATAAGCATCCAAATTATCGTAGACGTGTTACCTCAAACCGTACAACAATAATTCCATCAATAAGCGATAACATTGCATTACAAGCAAATACAATCACGTTGAGCAGATGAAAAATACGCTATCTTCGAAAGAGACAAATCCGAAAAGCTATTCTTTGTACATAATTAATCCAATGGATATGTAAACGTTACTCATTGGCATATAACCACAGCAGTATATATATTTACCGTGGATGGAATGACGAGTTCTTCAAGTTCGCATGCACACTCCGAGTATATAGACACGTTTCTTACACAAGTTATCGATACTTTCTCAGTGATGTATTAATCACCACTATGTCCCATTTTGGTGTTCAATCGAATATTCCTCTAATATTGACGTACTATTAAGTATTGTAATTATTGTTATCGTATATCTATAACAATTCTTAATTGTTGTTACATATTGTTACAACCTTATATTATTACATTACATATTATATTGCTGGTTAAAATACTACTTAGGGAATTATTTAATGTCGAATATCAATTTAAGTCAGTGGCGTACTATTATCGCGATGGTTTCCAAATATCTTATACAAGAGCAAGTAAATCATGTAAACAACTCTGTTACTTTGACACGTTGGTAGACACAATGTCTGACGATAAGGATAATACGACATGTTATTCACGTACGTGTATTGATGAGAGTAACACTTCGTATCCGTGCATGCAAACGAGGGAACGTGTTGAAACACACATTTCTAATGACCATCGTATAATATACACCTCAATCACACATTTTCGGGTCACGGAAGCACAATTATATGTACACTAATACATTTTCTGGGACAAAAACATTAATTTTCGATGACATTTTATTTGTTTTATCCACAAAAATCGGATTAAGAAATAGGCGACTTTAAGATTTTATTTATTGTGACGAAAAAACACGAGAGTAAACTGTTTGCGCAAACCCCCGAACATTTCAGTATCAAATTTTATTTTATCGATATAAACGAATATCAACGATTTATAGTACGGATAATGCTCCCCCCCCCCCCACCAGACAGACTGATATACATATTTGTTTGTGAATAACTTTCTTTTTTCAGACGTGAATTCACTGTTGGCGACATTTTTTTGTTTAGTGGCTTAATTAGAACATAGAATCTATTTGCAAGAATTGAAAGCTACTCACTGCAACATGTTAAAGAATTAGAGATAAAGCAAGCTACCATTGAGTATGCTTACCAATTGTTTTGGTATGTAACAATCTCATACAAAAATTCTAGATCGATCGTTTCGTTCAAAGCATGCCACCGGTTGGATGAAAAGTTTTTTTGGTATTACGACATGGCTAGTGACGGTTTATGACAATCTGTTACGGACCTCTTCCTGTGCGTTCTATTTACGCCCCATTCCATCACCATAAGTTGTTTAGATCGGCCACAGAAACAATCTAGTGTGACAAAATAAAATAGCGTCACCGAACGCCAGTGAGCACACATTCTTTTGTGTTGTCAAGCGAGTAAAGTTGCATAAAATTAATAATGTCATCGCCCATAAGATTACTGCACCCATATATTATACATATTTGTTAAGTGATCTACGTTTTGCTAAATTACGCGTATATAAGTTTCAACGGGAAATTTCACAGTTGCCTTGTCCCTTGCTTGGTCCCCTGTCCCAATTTCAACGCTGAGGGCGGTTAAGATCAACCGCCTTCAGGGGACCAGACTAACAGTTGCCTAGCAATATAGCAGAGATGCAGAGTAACGCACAAGCAGGAAATCTGGAGAAAACATGGTGTGTGCGAACTTGGTTAATCAAATTGTGTTGAGAGAACAAAATAACCATAACTCAAAACACTAATAGATGACGAGATAAATAGAATCATTGGGAATGTTATGGTGCTTGTTGAACACTCGGACATGACACAAACTGACGATAAGTGCCAACACTTAAAACATAATCACTGTCAAGTCAAGAGACAGTGACGTCACCTATTAAATCTCTAACCCATTCTATCCAGGATGTGCTTTGCCAGGGTAGAAAAAGCAATTCGCATGTCATAAGTAGCCCCCTCAAGCGGCGAGATTCTACGTACGTTATTTTTGTTGAACGAGATCAATTGGCAAGGCAGAAACCAGTTGATATGGAGATAGAAAATACCTCATTGACGAGAACTATGTTGGTGCTAAAGAACGTTTTTGCAGCTATGCAAGTCAAAAGTAAAATGGAAATGAAACATATAAATGATACACGGAAATAGTATTAATTTATTTACTACACAGATCATCAGACATACACAATTACAGACCTGAGATGAGGGCAAGTTCCGGACACCCAGCAGTATCTGCTACTAGTTTAGACAAGGATGACGTAATTTTTACATGCAATAAGAATATATGGAAAACAATGAGGCAATGGAGTTTTTTCATGATTGATGTGTATCGCTGGCATTATCACTGCATGACAAGTGATTGGCAAGAGCACTCTGGACCCTGTTCAATGTTCAAGAAGCTACAAATTCTCAATGTAATTAAACTGCACAAACCAGTAATTGGTATGTTTATGTATCATCTTCACAGCAATTTGCTCTAGGCTCATACAAACTACAACTCTTTATTGGGACAAGTCAGAGAAAGGTAAATGTAATAGTTTGTGCCAAGTATCAGATAGCATTCATAATTTCGTATTCACATACGAAGTGATAGAACGTGATTTTTTTTGACCGTGATTAACCTTCATCAAATCAGTTCAGTGAATAATAATATAAAACCAGCTAGATAGCACTCGCAACTCAGAAGAGATGCCAATATTCATATCAACACTCAGAGAAACACAGACACTATTATCTTGAACTTTGACCTTAAAATATAAGTATTTGGATCACAAAAAATAACATCAGCAAAGTTTTCAAGACAATGGCGATCTAAACTTGGTAGTTATATTGTGAGCATGCATACACATATTTGGCGACCCAAAAATTCATGCCGTGTGGGGGTTACTTTGGAAACCTGTGTGCCAAGTTTGAAGTTCCTAGCTTTTACCCCTTGTAACTCATAAATATTCATGACCTTTAACTTTTTTTAAGATCTAGATTTGCAGCTAATAGGAAATTACCTGCATTTGGTCCAAAATGATCAAAAAAATTATAGAAAAATAGGTAAAATGAAAATTTATGGTGTCTCATAAGGTTAAGTTGCAAAGAAGACAGGTTTTTATTGATATTTATAGAATTTATTGTCAATGATAAATGTATAAGAAAAAGATACAAATTACATCTAATCCTGAATACATACTACCGGTAAGTTTACATGATATGATAAATAAAAAATATCACTACTTGTTTAATCGACAAAATTAAACAAAATAGATGCTAGTCAACCAATTTTGAATCAAATAGAGTAACACAATTATCTGCCACCAGTAAAACCAGTGTATTCAGAGACAATAACAATATGTACTAAATACAGAAGATAATGTATTGAAATAAATGGTTTTAAGAAATGGCCACCTGGCAGCCATATTTCATTGAGTCAACATTACATATGTATATATATATGCCACTGCATTTTAAATCAACACAGAACAAAGTGGATGTTGTCTGAGATGTAACTGGAAGATGTACCCTGAATGTAATTGCCTCCATACCAAAAAAAAAAATAACAAAAGCTGGATAAAAATTATTCGAGCTATGACAACAGATATTTAGTACTCAATAATTTGACACTTATGTTTACTGGCAAAGTAAGAATGTTCAGCTAACCATTATGGTTATTTCAACATATATCATTTTACACTTCATGAAGCACACATTTCACTCTTGATCCATAAAATGTGCTTGTCCATTATTGTCTTGTCTTTGTGTGAGAATTTCACAGCCAGTGTCAGTGACAAGAAGAGTATGCTCAAACTGGGCTGAGTTGCGGCCATCTTGAGTAACAGCAGTCCAGTTGTCTGGCCATGTCAAGTCTTTCCAAACACCTGATGAGAAATGATACGTCATCAGCAGATTCAAAGGAATATTCAATGAATTCCTTTGTGATGTGTGTTTCTCAATAGTTTTTTTTTAGTTTTTTAAAAATGATTATTTTTGGTTGCAGTCTGATATAATGCGTTAAAATTAAAAAAAATAAAAGTTTATCCAATGACTAGCAACCAATCTTTTTTTATTTTAGTATTTTTTTCCTCCTGTATGCGAACACACAGGCATTTTATTTAGTTACCCTATCTGTATGTATGTGTGCACATAAGTATATGTCTGTTCCACTGATATTTCAAGAAGACCCGATTAAGTTTTGGATCTTAATTACCCAATTTCCATAATTTTAAGTTTTTAAAATAGTATCTCAAGTACTAATTATTACATTTCAACAAAACTTGGTACATAGATGCTCTGTGACATTGAACAGCTGTTGTTTTTTTATATTTTTCTATAGTTTAATGTTAAAATATGGATGTTTCAGAGATGGACAGGGCATTGAGATAATCAAAATTTATCACCACATGTGAATACGCACATTTAAGCATCAAGATAACTCAAAATTGTTTGTCAAATCCTACATGTTATTTTGAAGCCACCAATACACTATGAGATTAATTTGTCATGTTTTTATGTTCAATTTCACGAATAATGCATATCTCAAGAAGGGTGGAATGTGTCTTTTTTTTTAAACCATATAATAGTTTATACATCAAATTGAATGGTAACATTCGTGTCATAAATGTTTTGTATGCTGAGATACCTTACCTTCTGAAATCATGGGTTCTATTGTAAATGTATGTCCAGGTTTCATCACTCCAATCGCTTTGTTCTCTGAAATGATAAGAATATGAGGTTATTACGAGAATAGCTCAAAGGATGCACAAAGACAGTACAGCTGGACGATGCACAGTGGAGGTCAATGCGCAGCTTACTGTCTGAGTTCATACTTTGAGGTATCGTTGTAATAACCATATTATTATACATCTTTTCTATTCCAAGGATACATCATGGAAATGCCGAAATCAAAAAAGTTTAGAACAGAATCAGCGAACTTCTTTGTGTGGAGTCCAGTCAAACCCTGGTGGCAGCCATGTTTGTATTTATGATTAGAGAACGCTTACGCGTGTAATCATTTCATTACGGCACGCTGTAACTTATGCCATTACGGTGACAGATGTATAATAATAATAAAATAAAGTGAAGTGAAACTAGTTAACGCTTATAATACTCAAAAAACTAACATTAATGCAGCAAATATGGAATATATTTGTCAGATTACAAACACTATTTGCTAAAAATATAAAATAGCTACATGTACATGCATTCATTCATTCATTCATTCATTGGTTGCATTCATTCCGCCTAATAGATATGGGAAACAATTCATCACAGTGCTTGTCTCACAAGTGTCCCATATTTATTGATTTGGACACGTGTAGTTTCTGGTTTACACCAGTTCTACAGTATAATTAAATGTCACTTTTTACTCACTTGCATAATGAGGTATACTTGGTGCAGTATGAAACAATTTATGGATGCCATGGCCACAGTATGTTTTGACCACAGAAAACCCATGTGCATGAGCATGTTTTTGTATAATGTTACCCATTTCCCTGTATCGAACACCAGGCTTCACTGTAACATGAAAGAAGACTTAATTAGATTTAAAATAAAAAAAAAGTGGATTCATATTTTATACTGAGGATATTGTGTATAAAAACAACAAGTATAGCAACAAACATGCTAAGAAAATAAATTTTAAGGTTCAACTCAAACACTAACAATGTAAAATAACTGAAGATACATGTAACATTAAATCCATTATGTCTTTAAAAATATTTCTGCCTGCTTGGCAGAACACTTGTAAAACAACAAAGTGGCAACCAGTTTAGCCATTTTGATTGAAATCACAAAAAACAAATGACATGCATCATTAATCCACCATGAATGATGTCAATGCCAAGTTTGATTGAATTCGGTGAAGGTATGTCTGAATCTTGGTGTTTTTGGGGACAGAAATAGCCAATATGCCGGTCAAAGGTCAAACAAAACAAATCAATGTGCACACGCATTCCATTATGGCACATCTTTGTACTAACAGATCTCATGCCACTAATCACTTTAAATGCCTTGGAAGCAACAACATTATTTTTTAAATATTTGTTTACCCTGTTTGAGAGCATGTATCACATGGGTCAAAGGTGAGACTAACATGTGGTTTTTTTGTTTATTATTCAGTGGCCATGTACCTGTGGGTTTATTCTGTGTGTATTTGGATGTTCTTCTATTTATTATAAATTTTTGCATGTCTCTCATTGTTAATTTGTTTTCTCCTTAATGACTTAATCAAAGTTTTGTCCCTGGCCAATGGGGTCCCAATAGCCTCACATTTTTTAAGTACAGAATTTGCAATTCCAGTGTTCAGATCATGAATAGCACTATGAATTCTAGGTGAAACATTTCTACTCCAGGTAATGCTCCTTGGATTTGTTTTTGAATAACTACGGTGCACAGCTTCAGTTTTTTGTGTGCTTGTCATGAATTTTGTTCTGTCTAGTGCACTTGGACCAAGTCGCATTCAAATTATTCCCCGTATAGTTGTCTGTCACAGACATATTCAGTCAAGCATTAAAAATGATTTCTTCCATTTATTGCGTTTCCTACCAGTGCAAATATATGAATATTTTCTGCACATTTCTCCACAGTTCCCAATATAACATTCGATGATGGCACCAACAGTAAATGATAGTTTATTTTTATAACTTCCGGACATCCACAATACTGCTTGAAAACCTTTGTGTGTTCTGTATTGCATCATGCAACCAAATCATGGACAAAGCGTTTTTTTAAGTTTCTCCTGAGATCCTCTTGTTTTTCTGGGAAACGTTGTAACAGAGAAGGTGGTATTGTCCATTTTTCTCTTCAGTCCACCACACAGGTGTCTACTGTCTACCAGATGATCAACTGGTTCATGTTTTGCCATTTCGATGCCAGGGCGACCTTTACTATCCCCATCAGAAGTGCACTCCTTTCATCTCCAATACTGGCACCTGGTTGGATGTTGGCACTGCAGTGTCCATCATGTTCTGGGCAGTTGACAATCAATCCTTTATTCTATTGTCTTTCATCAGTCTTGCAAAGTTTGTTCTCAGTGTACACTGACGATATCTTTTTCTTTGCCATGACTTTCTTACAGATGGTATAGGTCATTTGTGTTGCAGGCTGGAATGGAGTTTTGCCGGATGGACTTCACAGTGGGTTATTGAAGAGAGTATCACCTTCCACTGGTAGTGCAGCATTCGCAGTGACACCACTAAGGTGTTGTACTGAATTAACATGATCCAGTTTGCTACCATATCTTCCTTGTTCAGTTTCACTATTGCCTTGTCAATTTTATTGACACACTTCTGCATGCCACTGGTTACTGGGGCTGGGGCTGGTGGTATACAATATTTTCTGTATTTGAAAATGGTGAGCCTAATAGTCCAACCTGCAGTCTCTCATTAGTTGTGGCTGCTTTCCGACCAGATCCCTCTATTTTGATGACTTTCAAAGGGGAAGGGAGGGATTCTCCAAATCCTGTATCACACTGAGCAAACTAAGGCCAGACTTTTATTATCCCTCGTTTCGCGAACCCACCGAATGAACAGGAGCCGAAAACGAAATAAAAATATAAATTTATTTCAGCGTAATTTCTCGCGCCCGCCGACTTGTAAGCGTAAACAAATGCTAAAAAAATATTATTTTTATCTTTATTTTTTTACCGCCCGCCGCATAACAAATCCAAGTTGCAGTTTCGTGGAAGTATAATGATCAAAGTACCAAAGTCTCGCGCAGATGAGAAACAAGGTTATACATGGAATAAAATTTTATTTCATTTCTTTTCCCCGATCAATGATCTGACTTACAATTCTTTGAGAATCACACAAATCTAATGAAAAAAGTAACTAATTTTTTTTTTTTTCTGCCCTCAAAAAAATTGCCTTATAAAAACTCGCGAAACAAGGATTAAAAAAAGTCTGGCCTAAGACTATAAAAAGAGAATGACATACCATCTAAAATAGACTCACCTTCATTAATGGCCAACATCAAGCACTCATGCGTAACCTTTACAAGCTGCTTATTTTTGTCTGAAACATTTCCAACAAAAAATGTCTCATTCAAATCTCCATGGTAACCATTGTGGTAAACAGTGATGTCAACTACAAGATAAAAAATTGGATAGAAGGAAATTGTTGGTGTTTTATATCAAATTGTGGTGTTGATCCTTTCCTTCTAGCAAGTGATCCATCCTGGAATCTGAGTAAATTATGTCACTAAGATGACAAGAACACACAAAAAACACCGAAAACAGTCATTTTGTAGCAAAACAGAGCTGAACAAGGCATGTCAGAGCTATGGTTCTGAAACACCACTGATCATTAATCTTAATCTGATTTGAAAAACAAAATATTTAATTTAAATACCAAATTTGTCCCGAATGTCAGAAATTCTGTTTTTGACATTAAAATGGCCGCACTTTTTCTCTCGCTCGCTTATTGAAAACATCGGCCGCTCGCCCAAATACTGAAATACCCAAATATAAATCACAGGCACGGGAGTGGTGAAAATGATTGTTTTAATGATACAGTTTGAGGATACAAGTATTAGCTATTATTAAATTCTATGCCACTTTATATCGTTAGCGAACGCAACTTGAACTTGAATAACCTCTTGTTACGTGATTTGTTGCTTGTTCTGATTTTAGCAAATTCAATGTAATATTTTTATTTTATGGAAATGGGATGAAAGTGTTACTGTGGACTAGGAAAATTAGTCTATGTGAATTCAGCATACCCTGATACATGTGTAATGTGAATTGATCGTGTTCCACAAAAATGTAGCGGGACTGTGTTTCGTTTATATCTAGGGCCACTCCTTTCAATAATCATTATCAAGGCACTTACATGAAAAGGGCAGTGCTGACTCCATTGGACAAAGAGACACAAGGAAAATGATGTGGTTTTTATTCCAAAAATAACAATGTCAAAAAAATTTAGTCGGGGTCAGTGGCTGGGCTCGATCCATACGCACTATAAAAGTATTCTTACAAACCAGTTTCTCTGTGATAGTAAAAACGGGCCACTTGCCCTGAAAATATCTTGACATTTAGAAATAAAATTTAGTTGTAGCCAAAATATATTTGTACATTTCATGTATTTGGTGGTTGGTCTGATGAACAAAGTGAAATTTCTGTACTGAAAATCATCGATCAGAGTCTGGTTTCTCAATTTGCGAAGAAACCGACGTATTCCTTAATATATCTCAGACTAGTTTTTCTTTTTGTACTGAGGTCAAATTCAACCTTTTTTGTCAAAATATACCGATGTTTCTGGAGTTAATAATTATGAAGCCTGTCACAGCACAAAAAT